GGCAGAGAACCGGGCGGCCGCACGGTCGGTCCCCCCGCAGTGGGATGGGGAGGAGAGTTGGAAGGAAAAGGCAAAACGCGTGGGTTGGGATAAAGACAGTTTAACAGAACAGCGAGGGGCGAAGAGAACACCACCAGTAATACGGTAAAAGGGATATACAAAACCGAACGATACTCGGTGCCATTTTCTCAGCGCCCAATGCCCAGCGCGCGCCCGAACCGCGGTTACCCTTCCCCGGCCAGCTCCCCCATGGAGAAACCCAGCGTGGTGTGGGATATCCCGTTCGCCTGGCCAGTTCGGGTCAGCCGGCCTGGCTGTGTCCCCTCCCAGCTTCTTGTGGACATTAACCCTATCCCAGTCGAACCCGGGTCAGAGGGAATTGTGATTTTTGTTTTGCCTGTAGAAAGTCATACTGAAATATCCGAGAACTGGACACTATTCCCTGCAGTCCGCTGTCTGCCTCAAAAGTGTCAACCTTGGTTTTCACTTTCCGTCCGTTTCTGCCTGGCAGCAGCTTGGTGCCGCGTGGCTGGAGGGGTTTGCTGCTCGGGGCTTTCCGCTGAGCTCTGCGCTACGGCACCGCGGCTCCCCGCTCTCCGGAGAGCAGCCCCGCGGGAGCGTGCAGCTCCTGCTGCTCAGCAACGGGAAGAGGTAAAACACGGTGTAAGTGCTCAGTATTACGGCTGTTAGTATCTGCCTGCGCAACGCCTGCTGTCCCCGAGGACGGAAGAGTGAGGAGTTTTCCGCCAGCGACGATTTGATCTGATGTTTTGATGATTTTACTTAGACAGATATTTACATAATAGTAACCGTTTCGCTGCGGCTCGGTGTATCTTTGATGTTTAATTGTTCCGTGGTGCTCACACTTTGGAGTAAAGCCACATCCATCCACAGTTTAATTTTTGACCACAGACAAGTGGAAAAGGGCTTTAAAGCCACCTTGCTGCAATCATCTCTTAGCCATTCATCATAGTGGTTTAAATGTACTCGTTGAGCATTGTTCTCTGAGGAATTTCTAACCCACGTAGTGCAAAAGGAATACGTCGTTCTTCTCAGACTGTAAAGTAAGCCTTTCGCTGTCGTTAAAGAGCTGTGCTTTCTTGGATAGCCCCCAGTCTAATAGCTACGGCCCTTCGGCCTCATTTAACGGCCTTCGCACGCTCTGGGGTGCTGCTCGGTGCACAGCCGTGCCTATGCCATGGGACGTGTGCAGGAAATAATTAACACAAATAATATCCTGGGCTTAAAGCATTTTAAATAAGAGAATGTGTTTGCTTTGGTCCTGCACAGCGCAAGTCAGACTGCGGTGAAACGCCGGTGTGCGTCCTCCCAGCGGTACCGTCCCGGGTGCTGTGCGTGGCAAGATGTCTCTGCTTTTGATGAGCAAAACCGGGGGAGCCAGCTGGAGAGAGACAGCTTCTGGGCCCCGCCTCGCGACGGGGAGGGCCTCAGGTTGCATCAGAGGAGGTTCAGATTGGATATTGGGAAAAATGTCTTTACTGCGAGAGCGGTCAGGCATCGGACCAGGCTGCCCAGGGCAGTGGTGGAGTCACCGTCCCTGGAGGGGTTCAAAAACCGTGTAGATGTGGCACTTGGGGACATGGTTTAGCAGGCGTGGTGGTGTGGGTTGATGGTTGGACTTGATGATCTTAGAGGTCTTTTCCAACCCTCATGATTCTATGATCTTTACCCTGTGATTTAAAGAGGAGCAGCAGCAGGCTGTGCTGCCCTGGCACCCAATGCCCGATCCCCAGCCGCCCCGACGTCCTGGGTGGAGGCTGCTGCTGAAGGATCTGCTCGTCTCACGCCATTGGGGGCC